CCTTGCGGATGCAGATGTTGACCGTTGGGATGTCGTTGGAGCATGGGGGGTGCGCCAACGGGGGAGGGAGGCATATGGATATCCTCTTCGGTGGAGCCCTCGCGAAGGAGGGTGATGAGATACCGCGATTCGGTTGCCTCGATGATGTGCGAAGAGAGCCGGAAAGAAGGGTTCGGCCGTGGCTGCTGGCCCTTGTGCCCAAAGAAAACGAGCACATCACCGTTGGGGTCCCAAAGCTCCGGGTCTTTGCGCAGCTTGTTCCAGCGCTGCACAGGTCGCCCGGCGCCGATCCAACGCTTGATCGGCGGTGCGCTCCCGCCGGAGGGAACTGGCGGCAGCTTGGAAGACGGCGGCGGCGACATGACACCGCCGTCATCCTCCCACGGGTTGGCCTGGGACGAGCTTCCAAACTGTGGAGAGTTGTCGGCCTCGTAGCCGTCGTTGAACTCACCAGAGGAGTACGCGGAACCCTGATGGTTTGGCCGCACCGTGGCCGATGACATTGGCCGGAAATCCGCCATCTTCTCGGGATCGTACCCCTTCCGGTCCTTCTTCTTGAAGGCGAAAGTCTTGGCCAGCCCCTTGCGGACTTCGTCGCTCTTCTTGTCGAGGATGCTGCGGAACCCCGACTTCTCGATGCCGGACACGTCCTCGGTCTTGATGGCCGGTCTCCGGGCGCGGGCGTAGGCGAAGTCATCGAGTGGTCGGTGGAAGTGCGAAGGCCCGGCACTGGGCCCTTCTCTCCTCCCGTCTATGCTAGACCCGCCGCTCTGGCTCCCACCGCTTTGGTTCCCATAACCACCAAGGTCGTTCTGATAGCTCAACACCTCACTCTCGCGGGCAGGTTCCGAGAACTTGAGGAAGCGCGCATTGGTCGTGCCGACGCCGGTAATGTCTCGTTGCCTCTCCCGATCCCCATGGCGCATTGGCGGCATCGGGTCGATGGGATACTCGCTAATGGTGGCATTATCGGAGCTGGCACTCGACTTGGCCCGGCTGCGCACGCCTGGCCCCCTCTCACCCTCCTTCGTCTGCGTGATCTTTTTGCGCACATAGGCGCTACGACCCGACATGGCTGCTGCTGCTCTTGTTGTGCTGCGCTGGATCCAGGAGGAATGGACGAAGAGGGGTTGTTATCTGGGAGGTTATAGTGGTCCCCCGATATGATCGTCACGATGATACTCGAGATCGCGACCCCAAGGACTCTTTTACGACTGGGAATTAGCCTTCCGGAGAGTTGCTTTTTTGTGTCGCAGTCGTCATGTGACGTGGGGGGGCGATGCTGCGCATCAATTTCACCGAGCGATCGGTATTCGTTTTCTTGTCACTCGAGGTCGATCGCAAACACGGATCAGAAGAGATCGGGCCGGTGGATTTTTTGTCGAGGATGCGCGGGAGGCACTTTAAAAGGATGACCCGTCCGGTCGTGTCTCAGGCGTCTATCGCTTATCTGATGCGGGCGTCCGCGGTTAGGTCGGGTCGCCGAGCCAAGGGGGAATATCGCTCACTGGTACCGTGCCGGTGACATTGGCGACAAGTCAGAAAGGTGGTTTGACAGAGACAGAGGAGCCGGAAAACTGGTAGGGAAAACCGGGAACAAGAGAGAGGCGGACGATGGACGATATGACCGCTCGGGAGCCCGCCCGTGGTTTGCTTTTTCCGTCGTGGTGGCACGCAGCCCACCTACCGCCGTAATCACAAATATTATTTTACTCGCAGCAGGATGAGCAAGGGCGAAAAGGAAGCGCTCCCCTTTGCATCGCCTGGTTCAGGCTGCACGTTCTGGTGCTGAGGATGGCCAGCCGTCCGCTCGGGTCCAATCTTATCTCGCGGAAAATGCCACAGGCCATTCGGATCCGAACGCATCGCTGGTTCGAGACTGCGATTCCCTTGCCTGTCTGGTTCACTGGCTCACATCCCGGTCACCCACGTATCGGGCGTCTGACGGTTATCGATTGGAACAAGCCATCTGGGGTTGGGAAGGGGGGGTCATCCAAGCAACCAATCCTGCCGCATCCTCTTGTCGAGGAAGCACCGTTGCGCCGGCCAACTGCCCCCGACCGACGACGATTGCGCGCGCGCCCAGAAGACCACCAGCAGGCGCACGGAACCTTAACATTCTCGCTACGAGTATTTTCCCGGCCACGCTGCTACACGACGACGGCGAGTACCACGCTGCCTAATATGGCTCCGAAGCAGCCCTACGAGCAGCAAATGGCAGCGCGCCGGGCAAAGTGCCCGTCGGCGCCCCAGACCCTGCCGGCGGGGCCTGGTACCACGAGGGAAGGCGAGGGGCGGGAGAAGGGGGAGCGAACGAGGGGGTGGGGCACGAGGTCGCTGATAAGAAGCAAGCAGATGCCAGGATCTTGTCGTGTAATGGGTATTGGCACTGATAACTCGCAGCAGACGCAGCAGACGCAGCAGACAGGCCAAGGTCGCACAGCTTCTTCGATCGTTTCACTTAATTAACATTTTTTTGGTTTGAACCTGTAGGGACCGGCCCCAGGCGTCAGCCCAGCGCGCGCGCAACACGCCGCCCCCCCAGGCGCGGAGGTGCGGGACGCGACGTTGCGCTGCAGCGAGCCCAGTCGTCGCCCCCGAAGCCGTTTAGACCGTGGTGCCCCCGGATGCCACTGCGATGCCCGTCTCACCGGTGGCCGACGCGGCTCTATTCGATCACGGTCGATCGAGATGCTGGCAAAATAGCACGGCGCACGGAGGCTAAGCCGCCATGCTGCCGGCCATCTTCCGTGCACAACCAGAAGCACATCCCGGCCACAGTAGCAGTTGCATCGTCGTAAACATCGAGCCAGTGCAACCTCGCCGCAGCCCCCGCGTGGTTCGTGACGCGACCCAAGGAACAAGCCGGAATTTGTGGAAGAAGGTCGAGTACAGGAAGCCCAAGCCATGTTGGGATCCAGCCACGACTAGCCCCCACTCAGGGTCCAATGAGGCGTTCCTCCCCCACTACGGACAACGACTCTTTTGAGCTTGTCGCGGCCAGAGTCGAAATTGCCATGATTTCACTCCCTATCGAGAAACTGCTTGATGATGAGAATCTCAATGAAGAACCGAGTAGATCAACGATAACCAGCCGGCTGCCAAGCCAGGGCGTCCGAGGGAGTTCCGAAGACGATGATCCCTTGGTTGGGGGGACGCGGGGTAGGAACTGTGATGCACTTCCTAGCGGCCATGGAAATTCCAAGGAGGTGAAAAGCCACACATGGGCGGCCTGCAAGGACAGATGTTCGGTTCATCAACGGAAGCCCAACAGCTGCTCTAGGTAGAGCACGCGCGCCACAGGGGGGAGTTACATAAACCTGCCGCACGTGGAGGGGCTTGAAGATTCCGCAAACGACGTCGGTCAGGCCGACAATCTTCCATCAAATTTTGGTGCATCAACAGCTTGTCGATGGACGCGGTTGTTGCACGTGTCTCGTTTCCCTTCCCGAGAGCGCAGAACGAGGCGCAACTCAGCGCATGGTCGCTGCACACCAATCATCGGCCCATGAGGATCTGGCAAGACAAACTCGCAAAGCCGGCTGACGAAGGGAGAATCAGGAAACAGAGATGCAGTGGGCAAACGACCGACGACCGAACAAACGCTCTCTCGCGGCATCACAAGACGCCACGATGCGCCTCGGCATCATTCCCTAGTTCCCCGCTTCGTCACTCGATGTTCTCACGGACCCATTTCCGCTTGACTGGAACCAACGCACGCAGATTCCCTCCAAGAGGAAACCAAAGTCCGGCCTGCGGTCTTCAGGCAATTCCCCGGTCGTCTGTGCTTGCGCGCGCCGCCCTTGCTTTTACCCTAGTACCATTGGCCGCCCCAGAGCTTGTCGAGGTGTGTGTGGGGATCAGCATCCGCCCCGTGCATCTCTCGTTCGCTCCCTTCGATCTCACTTGACCACGATTCTCACCCCCCTCCATTTCATACAGCAATGCTTGAGAGCTCTGTTTAAATGGTGGTTGATGTGCGATATGGGAATGATCAACACACACATACACGCGCACAGGTTTGCGCATCCAATTCAAGATCCAAATTTTTGGTCTTTGATCTTTGAAGACAGAGCTCCTCCCTGGGCTTGGCAAAGCTGACGTGAGATGAGTTTGGAGTTTGGTCCCTGTCTGCTTCTCACTGCGATGGGCAAGCTCTCTCTGTATGCTTGTGCTTGTGCTACTGTAGCGGTAAAAACTGGCGAATAACTACCTAGCTGCCTGTTGGTTTGTTTCATGCACGGTAGATGAGAGCGCAGAGGCGGGAGCCGTTCCCGGATCGTCCTCGACCTCCCATCAATGTCACCCCTGAGGTGATGCATTGTGACTTTTCTTTTCTGGGGGGGTCTCATAACAGCTTTTGGGATGGTTTTGCGAAAGACCACTCGGAACTTCGGCTTGTGTATGACATACGGATATACTAGTATTTCATCAATCCCCCGGGGTTTTTATTTCTGACTGGGTTGTTTTGTAGGTATGTACCTATTGAGGCTCTTGGCTAAAAACGGGTTGTTTGTCCCTAATGATGTGGGGAAAGACAGAGCTCTCTGTCTCTGTTTCTGCTGCTGGTGCTGCAGGCGCACGCACACGGGCGCACACTTTTGGTTCGGCGGCGGGAGGGAGGGAGAGGGAGAGGGCGGAGCCGGAGCGGCCGCAGCCAAGCAAGAGGGCCCCCGCGACATTTTGCGCCCTGAAACTTTTTGGGAGGGGGGATCTCTCTCGGAAAGAGAGGGATGACAAAGCACGTGATGAGTAGATGCACGGTTTCGTCATTTGTGTTTTCGGGACAGAGGATGCCGAGCTGACTTATTTTATTTTTTTATTTTTTTGAGAATGGGTTTGAGTCGTTCGTGGAGAGTTAAGTTCCGTTACACACACAACGGTCTGGCTGGCTGGCGCAGAGGTGTATATGTGTTTTTGTTTGTGTGTGTGTGTGTGTGTGTTTACATAAGGTGGTTTTTCGGGAGGCAGTAGACATCAACTCAGAAAATAAGAAAAGAGGTTGTATAGTGTAGTGGCTATCACATCGGATTCTGAGTTTGTTAGTCCCACGGTTCTCTTTCGAATCGTGGTTGGTGACGAAAAAGAAGTTTCCGGTAACCCCGGTTCGATCCCGGGTACGACCTTTGTATCTCTTTTTTTTTCTGTCGGTCACTTGTGTGTGTGGTCTTTTTTTGTAGAGGCTGTGTGGACTCTCTGTGGAGCCTGCGGTGCAGTTTTGCGCTGCAGCTTGAATCATTGGGAGTCCTTGGCTTGGTTCCAGTTTCTTTCTATCCTTCACTTGAGTACCTACGTGTCAAACTTTGCAGATATACGCGCCTCGTATACCTACATACGTAGGTACATACGGATAGTAGTAAAACATCGAGGCTCGGGGATTGGGCTGCAGAGGCCGATTCAGAGTTCCATCCTGAGTCCAAGTGGTGTAATGGGAGGACTGAGAAAGGTGTGTATTTTGAGGTGTATATGGCTGGGGTACGTGGACTAGTCGTCTTTCTTCCTCGGATGGAGGTGAACGAGAAGAGAAAGGAAAACGGAATGAGCACTCACTCCGGGCCCGGCCTCAGTAGGTAGGCAGATAGGTTCACGGATAATACCACAGTTGCAAGAAGCATGGGGATCGATGGATGGATAGACATCCAAGTTACCCCGGAATGAGGGCAAGGTATAGTTCGCAAGAACGGCTTGCAGGCTATTAGTTCGGAGTTCCATCGATAGAAGATACCTCTGCTCTACATATACCTTGAAGAATTAACAACTCCGACTACATTCCTAAGGCTCACTAGACGAACTTATTGCTTCCGTAACAGGTAGATACCTAAGCATCTCGACTCTCTCCTAATAACAAGCCCATATGTCTACTTTGAACCAGAAGCTTAGAATCGACGCAGTAGGTAACCTAGGATGCAAGAGTTCAGACCCCTACTACTTACTATGAGAAAGGAGAGCTGGCGGGGACGGTTCTCATGTGAGATGATGCGCTTAGGTGACATGATGTGCCTAAGCTGTTGAGGCTGTTGAGGGCTGTTCCGCGCCGCAACGTTGTTTCCCTGGGAGGGTGGAAGCAGCTACAGAATCTGGGTAGGTAGGTATACGATAAAAGAAGATTCGTACCAACGGTTCTGTCTTCACTTACAAGGCAAGTAATGATGTTTTAGTTCATGTATATATAAAGCTCCAAAGACGTATATCAAACAACGACTATTGCTAACCTAGTGCGGTTTTATTTACAGAAGAAGCTCAGTACCCCAATCCCCAGCTCATGCCTACCTTACGGATTAGAAACGGAATTTCGCGCGCCCAGATTTCGTCTCAGACAACTATGCCAAAACATAAACATCCTCTGAAGTGACGGTACTTCTCCTAGACACGATGGCCGGGCTCCCTCGGTCCTCTCCAAGCCCATCGGTTGGTGAAAATGCCCCAAGTCGTATCGCCCTTGCAGGTCTTATCCTTGCTGAAGCCCCCCGGTGCGACGACGGCCATGCAAGTCTGGCGAGCCGCAGAATGGCGGCCGCTGAGTATTTGAGCGAGCTGGTGTACGCCAGGAGGAGAGAGATGATGAGGACGCCTGCGGTCGATGGGACTGTTTTTTTTACGAAGCAACGTTTGTTAGTTTCTTGGGTTCGCTAGGTACTCGGTGTTTGCGCTCGGTGCGATGTTGGCTTTTTGGGGTAGGTATAATACGTACTCATGATGGAGAAAATCTGGCTAATAGGCCGGTTGACATTGTCGCCTGTGATTTCAGTCGCGTTCATGCTGAAGATGGCAGCGATGAAAGATAGCGGGAGCTGGTTTCGTGTGATTTTCATTGTCAGCTTCACGGCGGGGAATAGGCGAGTTATATACAAGTCTCAGGGGAAGAAAAAGGGTTCCTTACGAAGATGATGGTGATGATGGTGAAGAGGAGAAGCGTCTGGCCTTGTTTTTCCGCTTCCTTGGATTCTTGTCTCGCGGAGAGCGCTTGGGACACGGTGGCTTGCTTTTGTTTGAGGTCTAGAATATCGCAAAACTACTCATATAGTGCGGTTAGCTTGTCTCAAGCGACCGGGCGTGGGGTCAGGGATGGAGTTCAGCGTCGTGGTAGAAGGTGAAGTCTTACATCCTTGTAAACCCTCAAGGCCTCGGATTTGAGGTGTCCAATTTCCTCCCTGCGTCTGGTGAGCGTCTTCATTAACTGTGTGTACCTCATCTCCATGTCCTGGAAGGAGTCCTCAATGATGTGGTCAGCTGGCTTCATCTTGGAGGACGATGCCGAGCGGCTGGTAGTGTCTGGCTCTGTTCCCGTGTCACCCTTGGGAGACTCCGCGGTTTGAGGCACAACACTGCCAGTCCCAAACCGGCCATGCATACGGTGTTGTAGAGACGCGTCTTCGGCCATAGTCTGCACAACGCCGATTTGCTGGGCGAAGAAGTAGGAGATGCTGTTGAGCTCGTCCATGATGTCCTTGATCTTCTCCAGGCCATCGGTCTCTTCGGTAATGTCAGACAGGATGTGGATCTCCTGGTCGATCTTAGCGTCTAGATCGCCCAGGTTCCTTGTTTCACCATTGCCAGAAAGCAGTTCAGCGAACGATCGGTGGAGATGGCGGTTCTTGTCTTCTAGGTGCTTCTGAAGCGCCCTTGAGTGAAGCGACAGCTTCTCGGCCAGTTCCGTTTGCATGCTAGCCTGATTCGTGAAAGCGGAGGTGTCAAAAACAGGACTCTGTAGAACCTAGAACAAGGACCGAAGGCTTACGCATTTACCGATACCAACGACGAAGGGTTCCAGATAGTTCGACTCGCTATATAGCGCTTCCTGCGGGGTCGGATGAAAGATGCCGGCGCATTTGTCGATGATGAGGCAGATGAGATCGGCGGGTGTGACGACTGGTTGGCTGTAGTTGCCATAGAGGGCGCTCAGAATCCTGCCTCGGACGTCGGGGATCATCTTGGCGATGTTGATTATCTCGAACGCTTCTTTTTTGTCTCGGGAACCGGTTGGGGCCGCAGCTGGTTGTCCCGTCGCCTTGCCGTCTCCCGTGTTTGGATCCTTGCCCTCTGCCGGAAATGCCGTCACTATCGTCTCTGAACCAAACATATGAGCGAATAGAACTAGGGTATGATCACATCAAGAATAATACGACTGAGAAATGCGAGAAATAAAACATATGGTGTGCTCACTGATGTTATACTGGGATCCATCTATTCGTTTTCGCGGCGTCTGAATCACCCACATCCACAGCTGGTCAACCATCAATAGGCGGGCTTTTTCTCGTCTTTAAGGTTTTAGTAACAGGCAAAGCATATTGAGCGGTAAATACTTACGGGAGGGTTGAAAATCTGGAGACGACTTGCGTGGTGTCTCTCTCCCAGACCTTGGCTGTCGGCATGGTATAATAGAACGCCTGGTCCAGCGTACGCCGCTCATGGATTTGCGAGCCATCAAACCCATACGCAAGAAGAAGTTGAGCTTTGTGTGAGAGTCTGGTCCATTTCGAATTGCTAGGGCTTGGAGGGTTTTCTTTCGCCCCCGGGTTCGCCATCTCATTCAGAACTTCCTTCCGTTCCTCATGGCTGTTGCTCGTCTCTTGCTCGATAAATGGCATCTGGTGTGTATTGTCAGAAGGTAGCGATCTAGGGAGATCGGCACACTTACGAAGAGGTATGAATTGACCCTCTCGTCCTCCCGAGGTGTGAAGAATGGGTCAACGCTCTCCTCTGCGGATGGGTATTAGCATTCCCGAAATAGAAAGTGGCCGTGGGGACCAACTTTGGCTAGAAACTCGTGAATAGGAGGGCCTCACGAATCTGATAAGGCCGGGCAGCTCTTCCTTGACCGGATGCCGCGATGCCCCAGAGACCGGCTGCAAGAGGAGGGCGAGTGACTCCCTCTTCGCTTGGACCCCGGCCTCCAGCCCCTCTAGCTCATGCTCTGCGATCGACTTACGGTCGTTCGGCGGAATCAGGGTCTTGAGTCTATGCATCTCGTTTTCGGCGTCTCTCAGGCCGAGGAGGTCAGCCAGCACTATCTCAGCCCAGGCAGGATTGTTTGCTGGCAGATGGATCCACCTGAACTGCGGCGCACCGCGGTCCGTCGGGATGGAAAACTCGACGCCCCTGGATATGATGGTCTGCATGGAGGGGAAGCAGGCTGGCTTGTACGTCGTGTTCTCGTACTGGTAGAATTCGATGATCAAGGCCTCGGCGGATGCGTCGCATACTTCCTTTAGTCGCTTGCGGGGATCTCGCGGGCCTGTCGTAGGTACATCTTTGGCGCGCCCCCTAGTTTGTTGGCGTTGGAAGACCCGACCCATCATCCGCAGGCCGCCCGCCTGCAGACGCTCGTCTGTTGACCATCCCAAGTTGTATGCCCCGCGTGCGGACGCTCGTCTGTTGACCATCCAAATGACTGACTCGCGCTGAATGGTGTAAGCCGATAGGTCTCTATCCTCTTCCAGTTTCTTCCCGGCGAACTGAAGGTAGAACGTGTCGGAGGGCCTGTTAAGACGCTCCTCAATCAAGCTCATGAGTTTGCCAACGGTATCGGAGCTGGAGACTTCCAGAGTCAGACGCTCCGGAGGGCGGCGAGAGGCTGCCGGTGCCCCATCCTCATCAGAGTCATCCGACTCATTCTCAGGCAATCGAACGAAACTAAATGTAAGTCAAGATGTCTGATCAGCTTGCGGCCGCCCCGAATTCTCGGACTCTCCAGCCCCAATAAGGGGTTTCTGTGTGAGGGAGGAAGGGACGTTACATTTGCATTTGAGTCTCTTGCATTTTGACACATGACCAAACTAGAGACTGAAACTCTGCTCGCCGTCGAGAAACAGCTGTGCCAGTCGGCTGCTTGTGAATGATTCGAGGTAAAAATGTAATCAGACACCAGTAAAAGGAGGCGGCCGAAGGTTTTCAGAGTTGATGGCGATGTGGGACGCGACGTGCCGGAGATTGCGGGGCTGAAGAATGCGTCCAAGAAAGCGCCACCTTCCGCGGGAGTCTATCGCGCACCGGTTTTTCGCCTAGAACTAAGTCTAATTGGGAAGCGCACCCCCCAAAAACTCAAGATACTGCAAGATACTACGGAACACTTTCCTGATCATGTCACGGCAGAACACTCGTTGATTGGCTTTGATACAGGGGCTTC